ATTCTTTATACACACTATAAAAAGCGTCCATCAGAAAAGGGAAGGGAGAAAAAAGATCCTATGCAAATAATCTCTGGAAAAAAAATTAAGCTTATTCTATAAAAATGCGAAAGAAGCTTATACTTTGTAAATGAGCCATGTTCTAGGCAAAGAGTGGGGTTCTGCCCACTCTGCTCTCTGATTCCTGCTTAGCTGCAGGTAACAAGTTAAATAACTACAGCGAGCGTTCACAGGGTATTCGAGTCTCGTCGGCTAAAGTACAGCATCTCCTTAGACTTTACAACCTCCCAGGAGACCACGGCAGACGAGGCAACCAAGGCACCTGGAGAGAAACAGTCAGATGACTTTACAAACCCAAAGCGGAGCCAGGATAGTAATTTGGTCTTAGGACTTGCTGAGTGCTGCCTCCTGGCCAGAGTTGCCTCACAGGCTGCAAAGAACAGACATTTCCCCAGCAAGGACTCCAGCCCAGGAAAAGGTCTTCTCCGGCCAATGACTGATGGGGATACTCCAGGCTTTCTCTGTTCCCTGCCAATATTTATTTCTGGAGAGGTGGTTCGTCAACATTTGCTGACAGTATCCGCTTGTTTTCGCCATCTTCCCAGAATGGAAGAATTTACTTGATGTGATCTTGTTGTGAACAGATCAACTACGCAAGCAGGCTGCATGAAACACAAGTCTTCAAAAGCACTGTTCCTTGAGCTAAAAGTTTTGTTCAAGAAGGAGGAAAAATGGGAGTAGATGATGGAAACTTCCTTTCCTAGGGTTTTGTTCCCTGGGATAAAAAGCACACGAATGTTTCTCACAAAGAAACCTGCAGCGGCCAATGGCCCACATTGAAAGCTTTCTTTGTAACTGTGATGTGCCGAGTATTTGATTAAATTTCTGCTGTAGATAACCCTGCAGGTACATCCTTCTCGGGTCTTCTCTATTATGAGTTCTTTGAGGCCAAGACCAAGTGTTCTGTCTTTGTCGTATTTCCCACGACCATCCAGGAGAGAACTGCACAGGGCTTTCGGCTAACAGGCAAATGGAGAGAAAGCTGGCATTGGATATGTAAAGAGTTAAATGGAGTAGCTAGCATTCATCACAAATGATGGGCCCCCACCTCCCTTGTGGGAGGGAACTCAGGGTGCTTTTCAGATCTGGGATTCTAGGAGTTTGTGAACTCGGGCTCATTTTGATCAACTAAAGATAGCATGATGATGCCACTTTCAGAAGGAAGTGGGTGAAGAGCTGTGGCTTTCGGTACAGACTGCCCAGGCAGGCTTGCTGTCTATCCCACTGCAATACACTGAATGTTTGTGTCCCCTCAAAATCCATGTTAAAATCCTTACCACCAATGTGAGGAAATTAGGAGGTGGGGTCTGTGGGGGGTGACTAGGTCACGAGGATGCAGCCCTTAAGAAGGGGATTAGTGCCCTTGTAAAAGAGGCTGAGAGTTATCCAGTTGTCTTGCTGCCACATGAGGATACAGGGGGAGGATACAGCAGTCTGCAACCTGGGAGAGCCCTGACCGGGATTCCATTCTCCCACTCTGCTGGTGCCTTGATCTTGACCCTCCAACATCCAGAACTGTGAGAAGTGAGTGGCTGTCCCCAGTCCATGCTGCTTCACTATGGCAGGCCGGATGGACTGAAGCACCTGCCGCCCAGCACCTGATCCCCGCAGGTGAGGGCAGCTCCCTCAGTGTACAGACCCCGTGCAGCTGCCAGGATCCTGCCATCCCTGCCAGGATGCAGGCACCTCTGTGGGGCCAGGGGAACTCAGAGAGCCTCAGGGAGGCTGCACAGCCACCTGGGGCCTGTTACCACCATCCAGGGATGGGCCTGGGCCAGGAGGATGAGGGAGAAAAGGAGAAATCAGGCTGCCAATTCCTGGGCCTGTAGTTGGCTACGAAGCAGAGGGGAGCAAAACTCAACTGAACACTTCTGCGTCCTGGAGTTCAGCAGGGGCAGCTGATAAGTCCTCAGGAGCAACATTAACCTTCTGGAAATGGGCTTCCAAGGCAGCTTAGAATCTGAGACGTGAGCTCACAAAGTCCTTTTCTGTTTTAGTTAACATTAGAATCACGAAAAAGACGATTTTGCCTCCACCTTCTTATACATACACATGACCGCTGACCCAGCAGCTGGGGAAAAAGGACCCTAAGAAGATGGTTCTTTAAGAGAAAAGACTTCAAGAGTGGTTTCCAAAAAGAATTTTCATTTATTTTTACTTGTTTCTTTCTTCCACTCCTATGCATTTTGATTCATTTAAATAATTAAAGTAGACTTATTAAATCTGCTGTAAATCCACTGGGCACTCCTGGCTGGTCCATCCTCTTCCTTTCTCCCCTTGGGGCTCAGCAAACTCTCCCTGGAGTAGGGACCTCATGCGTAGTTTTTAAATGGCCAATTTCCTGCTTTTGCAGGCTTTCCTCATGTCCTCTGAGCTTTCTTGCCTTTTAAGGGATAAAATGTTTACCACTTGCATTGTCCCTGACAACAAATATTTCCTGGTCCTCTAACTCCTTAAATAAAGCAACCTTGCATGCCTGTTTATCTGCTGAAATACTCGAGTCAAGAAATATAATGAGCTGTTTCTGCAATAAAAGTGTATATCAGCAGCCTTGTAGCCCAGCAATTGTGACACTGCATACCTCGGCCCAGATGAAATGTCCACAAAAGCAACCCCTTCAGGGTCAAGACCCCCTCAACGGATCCCAGTTGCCAGCTCCGTTTTTTTTAATAGAATTGTGCAACATTTGCTGCCTTATAGGAAACGCGTGGCTCCAGGGAGCAGTCAGTTTTCGTCTAGGGTCCTCCTTCCTGTAAGACTAGTTCTTGAAACTGTCTTAGGTCACGACTTCTTGAACTTCTGGTCGTCCACCACCTCCTTCATCTCCCATCACCTCTGCAAATCCACACCAGCAGAAAGAGAAGTGGCATGGAATTCTTCCACAAGCACTTGGCTCCTTCTACACACCAGAGACGCGGTCGCCCACCCACCCAGGAGCCACACCAAGCACATGCTCAGGGAGACGTCCCTCCATGCCGGCTCCTGCAGCTGGGCTGAAAAGTCCAGGCCCCAAGACCACCTGACTCAACATCCCCATGGTGTCACTGATATCAGGAAGCCGCACAGGTCACACATCCTCTAAAAAGCCTCTGAGAGGCAAGCTACCTCAAAAACATAAGCTGGCTCACAGCCTAGCGGCTCCTAAAGAATTTGAGAGAGAGAGCGCAGCATGCTGTTGTCCTGCAGTGCTCAGGTACTCCCAAAGTCCAGTGCTTTTCTTCCTCCCGTGTGTGGCTCCCCTGCTGTACATGTGCTGGGATTGAGTATTTCAGATGCACGGCCTGGGGAAGGCTGTCTCGTTTTCAGACAGCCCCTTTGATTTACGATCCTGTGGTTAAATCAGTGCAGGATTTTGGAGAAAGACCAATTCCATTTGCTTACGAGTCTGATCCTGAGGCTCTGGCATCTCTAACGACCCTGGCAATCATTTGCTTTTAATTACCATTTGATTCCATCCCTGAAAGAATGAGCCTGGCTTCTACCCCTCCAACTGCATGGTTCTGAAGAATCTCGGCAGAGGGTTATGGCTGCTCTGATGCTAAACTTGATTCAGGCAAAGCATCTTCTTTCAGGATTACTTTAGGCTGTCTTGACTTTTTTATAATGAAGAGTAGCCAATTCCATCCTGAACGAACCCTCCCAGCACACCTGAATCTCTTCAAACATCACTTATTTGCCAAAGGACTCTGGACCTCACAGCAAAGCTGTATAAAGCTTAGAAAAACAAGTTGACTTAAAGTTTCTATTTTTACACGGTGTCCTGTTTCTAGAGGGGCTGAGACTCGTGGTTTGAAACTCAATTTAGCATTTAAACTAATTTTCAGCTCGGTCTCTATGGACCAGCAATTAGGGAAGGAGAAGAGTTCAAAGAAGAAGGTTTCAGCCTCTCCTGGGCAGGCGTGTGCGGTCTTTGAAGACGCTCTCCCAGCCTTTCTTCCTGTCTCCGCCGGGCGACGACCTGCTGTGGCTGGGCCCGTGTGGGCACACAGTGCCCAGTCTTTCTGGTGCCCGGGTCTGGAAAGACACCAATGGCTGAGTCCATTTTGTTCCTTCTCACAGCTGTCCTGGGGAAGGATCTGAAAACTTCCTGAAGACTCCGCTGCACACTGCAGGCCAAGAGGTACAAGGCGAGAGACAAGAGAAGAATGGACCCTTTCAGCTCCCGGAGCCACTCGGCCTTCCACTGACCCCCCAGCCATCTCGCGAGGCAGCCGGGCTGGCTCAGGAAGCCTGGGTCCGCCTCCCAGCTGGGCTGCCACCTGCATCTGTGGCCACAGCATTCCTCTGGGTCTGGGAGTGGTCGCTGGCTTTTTTTTTTTTTTTTAATCTAAATTTTCCATGATGACTGTGCTTAGGTAATAGAAGATCACAGCACAAAATGCAAGAGGAACCGAAAGTGAAGTCTCTGTCCGACCATCCCAGATAGACAGCTCTGTCTCTTCCTCTGAGGCAGTCATCAATTTCCTCCAGAAATATCTGATTCCTTTGCAGAGAGTCCCTCTTCTTCTCCTTTCATTATTAGTTGTATGCACATGGTATCATATTATTCATGCTATTTTGTAACTTCCTTTTTTCCCACTTAACAATATGTCTCGTGTAGTATCTAAGGTCCTAAAGCTCTTTCCACCTTAACTTTCTGTCATCAAGGAATCAGGCCTAGCGTTTAAAGAGTCTACTTCTTAAGAATCTGGGTAAATGTTCCCACAACTGCCTTAACAGAGCAGGGAGGAGAAAATGGGAGGAAGTGTTTTATGGCTAGGCATCGTGAAACACTTTGATGTTCCCTGGTCAGTTGTCATTGTCATTCTCATTCCTCTCTAAGCCATTGGCCTAGAAGGGCGACTTACTCTAGGTTAAGAGAGATGGAGCTTTGCGTTGGGGCCCTATCCTGATGCCCACAGGATAACCCTATTGATTCTTATATTTTTGCCATTTTACAGAAAAGGAAAACGAAGTCTCCAGTAGGTCAGGTAACTACCAGTGCCACGCGGCTGATGACAGCAGAACTGGCTTCCAGGATTGGCTGCTGCTTCTGAAGTCCACATAACCTGCCAATTTGTCCAGAAGGTGTTGAATTCTAAAAAGGTCAGCTTTACAATTGCTGTCTTTAATTCCCAGGCCAATAGTTAATCATTTTCACTTGCGGGGTGTTTTCCCTCCAGGAGCCACAGACAGGTCTGCTGAGGGGCACGGACGGGACTGAAGTGTCCCCTCCTGGAGTACCCCCGGGCGCCAGCCTTAGCAATGCTGGCTGGGCTTTCAGACTCCATCTGCGGAGCCACACCCCGGAGGGCAACGGAGTAGAGAGGCAGGTAAGAAAATAAACGTGATTATGGTTGATGTTTCCCCAAGTGCTAAAAAAGCAAAAGAGATCAGAGGCCACGCAGGTGCATGAAGGTGAGGAAAAGAAACTAGAACCCGAGTGGGTGCAAAAGACTAACCCAAGGTCAAGTTTGGAGCCTCCAGCCCAGCCGATGCCGGCACAGCAAGTTCCCTGGCCGCACCTGCCTCCTCACTCAGACCTCGCACTCAGACCTTGCACTCCCTGTGCTTTTTGGTGTTTTGCGGCTCCTTGGTGTCTCTGCTAGAGGGTGGCCAGGCTCTTCCTATTCAGCAGACATTCACAAAGGCCCCGAGGGAACGGCGGGTTGCAGGGATGCTCCTGGCTAACCCCAGGTTTCCGGATTATCTGGGCCATTTTTATTCCTGACATTCACACCTTCCTCCCGTTACCTGAGATCATTTGAAAGACGGCGTCCGGTGGCTCCTGCCTGTAATCCCAGTACTTTGGGAGGCCGAGGCGAGCCGATCACCTGAGGTCGGGAGTTAGAGACCAGCCCGGCCAACATGGTGAAACCCCGTCTCTACTAAAAATACACAAACTAGCTGGGCGTGGTGGCGGGCACCTGTAGTTCCAGCTACTTGCGAGGCTGAGGCAGGAGAATTGCTTGAACCTGGGAGGCGGAGCTTGCAGTGAGCCGAGATGGCGCCACTGCACTCAAGCCTGGGCGACAAGAGCAAAACTTGGTTTCAAAAAAAAAAAATTCCCAGAAAGATGGCTAGACTATACTCAGAGTGAGCCAAAGGTAGGTATGAAGCCCCTTCTCCTGCTACTATCTCAAACCAAGTGGACCTGGCCAGTATAAAACAGGAAAAAATGCTATGCAGCTACGGTGTCCAGTGCTGCCTTTGGGTAGTGCTGCCAACCAGAAAGGTCCCAAAATGTAATTCGAAGCCCATTATTCCTACCCATTTTCCCAAGACACCCACTCAAGCCTGACCCAGAAAGCACACCCCAGTCCAGGTATCACCCTCTATGAGCCGATTCTCCTCCTGATACCTGTCCTAGGGAATCCACATGTTGAAGGGGCAGAACTTTGGTCTCTGTGTCCCATTCTAGGAAAACCTCTGGGATCCCCCGACAGCGGCAGCAATGGAGCCCGCATCAGAGGCTGCCCTGCCTCTCTGCCCTAATTCATGTTGGCCTCTTCAGTGCACTTGAAACTTACAAGGCAGAATGAAATGAGCCTGGCTCCTGATCTGTGTTGGAACAAACCCCCAAGGGCATCCTGAGCCGGCGGGAGTCTGGGCCTGGGCACACGGGCTGAGCACAGGGCTTCATCTCACACGCGGGGACACAGCCATGAAAAGATTCATCCTGAGGAAACAGCCTCCACCAAGCAGGCTTTCTCAGCAGCTATTTCATAATTATAATAAAAGCCACTTGCATTGCACAACTCACAATAACATAGATAAAAAAAGGTAACACAGAGCAGCAGTCTTTGGCAGAGGAAGTGCCCTCTGATACCTCTATTGGTTAAGAGTAGTCTTGGAGGACTAATAAGAAAAAAGATTTAAAAAAAATGAAGAAACCACCAAACAAAAGTTAAGCAGGGTTCCACAGTTACGGAGCCACTGTGCTAGAGTGTTCCACGAAGCCAATGGGGATGGCCGGGGAGATACTCCAGAGACCTGCCCACCGCCCAGCCCTAGCAGGCCCGGGTCTGCATGTTCACACTGCGCCCTGGGCAGGAGCCCACGCCCCTCCTGCCTGGGACTCCACAGGCTCTGCGGGGAGATGGTGGAGGCGATTGAGTTACACACGGACATGTACTCTGAGCTTGTGGGAAGGAAACGCCTTGGGAATTCCAAATATAATTAGTAGAATATCATTTAAGGAAAAGACATTATAAGGTTTAATTGTTTCCTGCCCTCCTTAGTCCCCTCTTCTGATTATGGTGACTTTACATTTTCCTTAGTGAAATGAAAGGAACGTGGGGTATGGAGGAAGGACCTTTGGGCTCATGGTCCAGCAGGAAAACTCAGTAGCCGTGTGGCCTGTGCAGGAGCCGTAACCCCTGGGACCTCAGCAGGCTGTGCCGCCTAAGAGTGTCGGGACTCACCAGGGTGTCCTGAGGACTGGAAGCAGTGACTCTGGTGGATGGTCTCCGTGGAGTCTAACACCCCACACAAATCCCACTGTCACCTCCTTTTCTCTCCCTCCCCACCTCCTCCAGGGCCCGGGTGGCTGCTATTGTTTAGTATCTTTTCCAGGTGTGGTTATGACATCACCTTCGCACTGTCCTCTTGGAATCACTGAAGAGGTTCCTGGGATGGGAGAGCTGAAAGGAGCCTTAGGAATTTTCTAGAACCATCATCCCACACCACCACCCACTTCAGAAGAGAACCGAGGTTCCAAGTCACAGGATAAGTTGGCGGCAGACCCAGGTCTCCTGACTGGCTACAGCGCCCTCCAGCCCCAGCCTTCCCCGTCTCCTCCCACCTCGCCGTAGCCCCACCTTGGCCTGCCCCGCCAGGAAGCAGAATTCCCCCTTTCAAGGGTGCCCTGAAGCCCCCATGGCAAGCCTTTAAGAAGGATTACCCACTTTATTCAATAAAGAGGAGAACACAGAGCTCTGAGGTACCTTGGCATTCTGCAGAGGGGGCTGGTAACTGGACGGCCGGTAGAACATCCTCTGGGTGGCATCGGTATGAATGTCACCAAGGAAGAGCTCCTCGACCAGGTGGTCGAGGTTGTGGTGAAGGTACTGCTTCTCCACCCGGATGAGCTGAAGCTCATGCATGGCAAAGTTCACGGCCTTGGTGCACTCACAGCCATTCTCCTCTCGCCAGAGGTCATAGGCCACGTCCTGCACCCAGGGACCCCCGTCTGCGAGGAACCCCGGGCACGTGCGGTTCACCTGCTGGCCGAGCTTCTCGGCCGCCGCCTCTGTGTGGCAGATCACTTGGACGCTGTGCAGCTGGTAGTCGGCTTCCGTGCCCCCTCGGATGATCCAGGAGGCCTGGCGGAGGCGGATCTTGCCCCGGATAATGAGAGTGTAAGTGGGATTTGTGCACCGGTTGCTGCCATAATAAAACTGGTAGGCCTTGAAGGTGTTATTGTGGTAGAATCTGTAGGACCTTGTGATGAACTCTGGGCCTGACCTTACTTCACAGCTGGGAAAGGAAAGGGGAAGAAGAGACCTTTGTAAGCCCAAAGGTATGGGAAAGAGATTCGTTATGGTATGAAGAAATTACAGAAATAATAATAAGCTGCTGATGGTGGGCCAGACACTGTTGTCAGCCCTTTACAGATACCAACTCATGGACTCCTCACAACAACCTAGGAGCTAGTATTATCATCACCCACATTTTACAGGTGGGGAAACTGAGGTTAGGGAACATGCCCAAGAGCACGTGACCAGCAAGTGTCAGAACCAGTCCATGAATCCAGGCAGCCCGGCTCTGACGCTGTGCTCCTTCCTAATCACTGCCTCAGCCAGCCTTCCACCAGCTTCACGAGCAGGCCAGGAGGGCAAATCCCTGCTGCCCTATGCGGGCATTTCCTTCTGGATAAGGAGGACGAGTGCTGTGCTGGCCTATAAAAGAAGTTTCCTTATGCTAGTTCAAAAACGGTCGACTTCCTGAGCACTTTTCTTTTATGGACTTTGTCTACAGTAGGCAGGTGCGAAATGTCTGTCATCCCGAGACAGAAACTAGTCACCTGGCGGCTTCTTGTCCATTCAAAATTAATTTTCTCTCTAGTAGAAAAGTAAAGGGGCAATTAACTAAAAGCAAAGCTGGCACAACAGAAATAAGGGTTCCTTTTGTTTGTGATGGTTGCCAGTGTGGCATTAGATGAATGCTAGGTTCCTGAGCCAGAAACACTAAGGCAGAATCTACAGAGCATAACAGCAGTGGGATGGAATTGAGGGATTTCACACACGGCTCTGTCAGCCGTTCATATATACTAGCTGAGGCTGCAACGGGGGGCACGGGGAGGTACTTAAAGCCCTGGCCAAATAACCTGGCCTTAGCCTTTTGTTAGCTCCTAGTCTCAGTTACGCCATGACTTTCAGCTCATCAGTTTTGGCCTTCACAGTCTGCTCTCATCTGTGATGCTAACACAGGTTCTGGTTTGAACTGACGAAGTGTTGCTAAATCAAGCAGTCAGGCTAAAATGCCAAACGCAAGTGGTTTTCAAAATTGCTAACACTTTAATTTGTTCGTTGATGGACTGGTGAAAGATAAGCATTATTTAGAAGGGGGTACCATTGCTACGCAAAGTTTGACACCTGCTGTCGAGTAGCATCCTATGGACATAAAGCGCTCAACGGTACCTGGGGTATCTGTAATCTTAGAAAAAGGAGACAGAAAACACCCCAGATTTCTCCCACAAGGAAAGAAAAGTTTAGTGTAAGCAGTGATTCATGTTAGATGAGGTTTAGAAAAGAAGATCCCTTATGTTTAATTTTTTAATCTAAGCATCAACAGTCTGTTGATTCTGCCTGCCATGTACAGTGGATCTCAGGCCCACTCACTTCTCAATTGCCCCTGCAGCTCCTCTTCCCTAAGCCTCCGTCCTCTCTAACCAGAACGGTTGCAAAGGTCTTTTCACTGGTCACCCCCACATCACTTTTTCTCCCATCCATTTGCCAAACAGCAGCCAGAATGCCCTTTCAAAAAGTTGAATCGTGTTTTAAGCATGGCCTCTGCTGTAAGCTCGTCAATGACTTTTCAGTTCTCTTAGGTTAGAAAAGCTGGTCTGCAGGATGCCTTAGAGCTGGCCTACCCTCCCCAACAGCCTCTTCTGAGGCTATCTGCCCTGGTTTACTGCATCCCAGCCACAGGGCTCTCAGCCGGCCGCTCCTTCAGTCTAGCCAGCCTCTCGCTCACTCTGCATGTAGCCTGGCCTCTGGTTCTTCAAATACAAAGCTCTTCCCACAGTCTTTGCACAGCCAACAATGCCTCAGTTCAAGGGTCCCCTTCCTTGGTAGGCTTTCTGAACTCCACCCCGATTTTAAAATGAGTCCGCCTGGTATTCTCTTTTAGCACCTGTTGCCTTCCCCACCCCTCCACTTTCATAGTACTTCTTGTGTATTTACTTATAAAACCCCTGATGATAGGGACCAGGTCTGTTTTGTTCACTGCTATATAAACAAAACTTAAAATAGTGTTTGGCATATGGTAGGCACTCAATAAATATTTGTTGAATAAAATGATAAATATTTTAAAAGTATGTAACATGAAGGTTGTTTATGCAAATTGTTTATTGTGGTTATTTTGAGAGACCTCATTTTTATGAAATAAAATTCTGCGTCTTCATCATCTTATACAATTTCTTTTTTTCTCTTCTCTGTATTCATCTGATCCCTCCCCAAGGAACTTGGAGGCTGCTATCCATATCCCAGGAACAGCGCATAGGGAGAAGTGATCAGATCCCAGCGTTAGTCTTGTTAATTCTCAGCAATTTAATGGGTAGAAAAAAAAAATCGCAGATCTGCCTCTAGGCTATTTTTAAAAGCTCTAATGGAAGATAAGCCAGAGCTGAAACTGGGATAAATCTCAGCTTCATAGCATGGAAAAGAATCCAAGAACTGCACCCTGGCTAGCAGAGGTAGCTTTTAACTTACTCTTAGAACCCCGAAGCCATATATTAAATTACCAGAATATGGCTAGAATATGTACACCATCCGGAGCTTGCAAGTCATGTTTCAGGGTTGGTGAAACACAGACTCTTAATTTCACTTGCTAATGGTTTCTTTTTATACACAAGTAGTCCCACAGAGTTCAGTAAACAAGGATCTATTCACTCACACTGTGGGGTTAACAGGAGTACAATATAATCTGTGCTTTAGCGTAAGATTTCTACAGTACTTAGCTGTTTTTCTTAACCAACCATAATTTCAAAGAGTAGTTTGGTTCTTCATTAGAACTTAGACAACACCTAAATCATTGTAAGGGATAAAGTCTCTATGCGTCTGAGAACCCGTAAGAAGGGTCTTCCATAGTGGTGTGCTCTCTGGCCTCTCCCAGACCCCACCTGTCCTCTTACCCTGTGGAGACCCAGTGGCCCTCGATTGTAGGTGGCATCTGCACAGTGATCCTTGCGCCATTGTGGAGATGTTTGAGCATGTGATGGCACTGTGACTCCTTGAAAGCCCTCCAGGCGCTCTTCTCTAAGGACCTAGGATGGGACCTGCTGTCTGGATGAAGGAGGGCAGAACCCTCTCCCAGCCCTGAAAAATAAAGGTGGAAAGTTAGCCAAAAGAAGAAGTAGCAGCAGACATGAATCGGACCAAACAACCGCCTCTGCAGCAGTCAGTGGCTGAAGGTGGGAAATGATTGTTTATTCTACAAAGTGTCATCACAGTGCACGCTCTCGTATAGGATGCACACTCCAAAGTGGCAAGTGTCATTGTAGATCAATTCCCTGGTGAGAAAACTGAGGTCCTTGGAGATCACCAACATAACTTGCTTGAGGTCACTTAGCTAGTTCCTGGCAAAGCCAGAGATCAAATCCACGCATCTATGAAGCAACAGTGAAGGTTGTGCATCTAAGAAGGGTTTGTGCAGGGTGGCCAAGGGAATGTGACCGGCACTGTAGGAGAGAGAAATGAACATGTTCTGGAGTCACCAAAGTGGTGGAGGTGGGGAGAGGTGAAAGAGGTGTCATCAATAACAGTGAATTTACACAATGGCAGATTTCGGTGAGGAAAGGAAACAGCAAGGAGACCAGCCTCAGTGAAACTGCAGCCTGGGCAGTGATGGAAGGAGAAGGCCCAGGGGACTAGGAAGATTCCCAGCTGGGATCTGCTTGCTGGCTTGACTCCATCTGCTTACACCAAGCCTTGCGTCTTCTGGTTCTCTGTCTTCAAGTGGATGCCCCCTACACGGCTGCTCAGTGGGGGTGTGAGCCTTGCACCCTCCTACAATAGGGACATGGTGTGACATTTCCCCCCAATTATCTTCCAAGTCCAGCCCCTCACCCTCAAAAGGCCAGAAACAAGCTAAACATACAATATAGGGCTTTAAATTAAGAATAATGGCAATATTACATATGTTTATTTCCCAGGGGTAAAGAAATACTAGCAGTAAGCTTATCTTCAGAACGAGTCGTGCAGGTTGGCCACAATCTTCCCAAGCAAAACTACCACCAGCCTAATGTTCAGAATGAAGCAATTAAAACTAAACTAATGGAGTTATTATCTGAAAGCCACGGTCTCCTCTGATATTTACTCCCAAAGTGATTAACAAATCAACAGGCATTTATGGTGGACCTACTACGTATTTAGCCCTGTGTTAGCAGAAAAGACACTAGTCAGACAACGGTACAAACTTTTTAAAAATATAAAAAACAAATAAAACGTACCTGTTAGAATGCTACTGGTGAGGAAGTAATTATATGTTTTAATCAACACATAAATAGCTTCATAGAGAAGGCATGGTTTCTGAGAGATGATTTGAAAATGAGAAGTTAGATTCAGAATATAGTGACTTACAGCAGCATGATGAAAATCTACCTGGATAAACTGAGACCTGCAGGATGATAACTTCAGATATCTGTTAAATATTCAGATATTTACCATCATGTGGACAAAACATTCAAAAGACTGAACTAGTTTTTGATGGAAAGTCTTGGTGTTGAGAAGACAGAAGTTTCTGCATCTGAACTCCCAGATTTTCCCTCTAAGTAGAATTCTGGCTTTGAGATGGAAAGACAGCTTCTGATTGTTCTTACAGATTTTACATGCAATGGATGTCAGTGAGACAAATAAGGGTATTACTCAACTAAATGAAAATTGTGAAAAGAGATTCTAGACACAAGAGGACAGTGCCATGTTCAAATTTAAGGCAACCTCACTCAGCCCTGTTTAGCCAAGTCCCTTAATTCTGGCCTGAGCTAGAATGGGGCAAACTCTAAACATGAGAACTCTGCCCAGTGTTATTATTATTCATGGTCATGGTTATTAAGCCAGGGCTTCCTTTCCTGAGGCCTCGAGTTCCATTGAGGGAAGGCGTCTCCATTGGGCATTCCCTCCCTGTCCCTCATTCTGCCCTCCCCTGGTGAAGGCACATGAGTTATGGAAGTGGAAGCAAGCATGCTTGACTCAGTCATTTTTTTTCTTTTCAAAACCAGCCTATTTACCAATCACATGCATTTTGATCAGCTCCCTCAGGGAGTGAGGACCATGCCCCTTTAGTTGTTCAGCTGTGGCACTGGGCCAGATGGGAAGTCTGAAACATTCGGGGGGAACTATGAGCACTCCTGTCACGGGCACCCATCTACACTGTGTCTTCTGATCGAGTATTCATCACTATGCTAATGTTTTAATTCCCATGTGCCTCACCCTCGTGTTGAACACTCTCTTAGTTCTGAACCAGAGTAGGGGAGAGGGGACTGCTCACTGGACCTCCACCAGCCTCAACGGTTGTAGTTATCTTGATAACTGTCAACATTTCCTCAGTGTCCCTGTTAGGCAGTCAAGGAATGAAACCGAGTATAACTTGCTGTCTGGTGGGTCAACAGTATGATCAATTTTGATGCAGCTAACTTAAAATAGATTTTAGTTAAAGTTACAAGGTATTGGGAGTTGGGGAAGATTCTGCTTTAAACATGCTACTAAGCATTCAGTAAAGAAGCCATCATCTCACTATCAACCCAGCTGTGTTCTAAAACTTGATTTGTAAACCTCTACACCCTGCAAGTGTTTTCCCATGAAGATAATAAAAGTCAGGAGTGTAGTGGATGTGGGTAAAATCTCCAGAGTTCAGCTGCTTGAGTTTGAAACTAGATCTGCCACTTGAAGGATCGCATTGGATCCAAGACATCAAGGAGTGTTAAGATGTATCATTATTTTATTATCAGTGACAAAACATGCACATTTAAACAGTGACATGATGCCTTAACAACAGTCCTGAGATACTCATGAATTATTTGCAGCAGCCTCCGATGGCACTGACATTTCTGTATCTAGTCAAAGACATTTGGCAATTTCTCTTGCATTTGGTGGCACTGCTGCACGTGTGACAGGTAATCTGTTTGCTCTGCATGTATCTCAGCAACAAAACAAAAACAATGCCTCATCTTTTTTGGCCTTTCTCCTTTCCAAGTAGTTGATTGATGCTGTGTGAGAAAATACGGAGTTACAGTTATTCTTCCAGCAATAAATACTTGCTTCACTAATGTCAAATTAACACTCCACTGCTCTATTACAAGATCTGTCTGATTTTCACCGTGATTTTCCTTTTCAGTGCTGAGAGTATAACTTATGAGTGAGGGAGGAAAAAAACCAAGCGTGCTGACTCAGATGTGTACTCTCTTGATGTTCAAAACCAGCCTATTTGCAATGAATCTTCAGATGAGTCCCAAGGATGAACATAAAAGAGGTGATGTGGGGACAGGATGAGCATCTGTGTTCAGGTTCACACAGGCAAAGGGAATGTCACCCCTCATGGCTACTGCCTGGAGGCCAAGGGAAACTGGGGCCCCCAATGACCGTGAGATGCACACCCCCTGCAGAGATCTTAAATTACGAAAAAGATGGGTATCTTGCAGTCAATAAAACCCAATATGAGCACAGTGACCTTAAACAAATCACTTAACTCTCCAAGCCTCGGTCTACTCGTCAGTGACGAAGGGATAAAAACATCACCCATTTCTTAAGGTTGGTTTCAGTTTAGCACCATGTTGGTTGGTATTATTTCAAGTAATGATCTTACACCATCCTCAAAAAGTCCCCTCTAACTAACAGAACAGTTAAAATCAGGGTAAAGTCACAGGGAGGAGCCAGGCTCACTCTGAGCTCTGAAGAGGACGAAGTATAAGGACACAGGGGCTCCAGGCAGAGTTAAATGATGATCCTTAATGTAGAAGAGAGTGAGGCCCAAAGTGCCAAGCTCTGCGGTTGCTGATAAGTTCCACTCAGTTTAACAAATACCTGTCAGTGAGGCTGGGCACAGTGGCTCATGCCTGTAATCCCAACACTCTGGGAGGCTGAGGTGGGAGGATGGCTTGATGCTAGGAGTTTGAGACCAGCATGGGCAACATAACAAGACCCCATCTCTACAAGAAAATAACCCTCAGGCATAGTGGCACATGCTTATAGTCCCAGCTACTCAGGAGGCTGAGGCAGGAGGATCACATGAGCCCAGGAGTTCAAGGCTGCAGTGAGCTATGATCGTGCCACTGCACTCCAGCCTGGGTGACAGAGTGAGACCCTGTCTCTAAAATAAACAAACAAAACATACCTATTCACCTTGACTTGCTAGACTTTAGGAGCCAGAGCATAAAGACTAACAAAGATGTTTTGTGTGTTTTTTGTTTGTTTGTTTTGTTTTGTTTTTTACTTTGAAGCTTTTAAGGTCTCACTGGCCTGGATGTCAAAGAACAATGGTCAAAACGATGAAGGAGGTTCTGGGGAGGAAGCTAGGGAGTTCAAAGGCGGAGAGAGAGGGAGTGGTGGGTAGCACTTGCATGGGCCATTCATAAGTCCAGAGCCACACAGGAAAGGAGGCCTACAGCTATGTTTTTAACTAGTGATGGAAGAAATAAAATCTAAGAACCTCCAATATGCAAATCATTGGAAAGCAGGAAAAAAATTATATTAAAGAGCCCAGGGTTTCTAAAGATCAATATCCATTTCGTTATTGCTCACATATGACAATGAGCACAGCTCAGGAACCCAGCGAGGCTGGCAGTGCAGCCCGGGCACCCATGTGAGCGGCCAGATGGAGAACCCCAAGGCTGGCACAGCTCCCCAAGGACACACTGATTTCAGGCTCACACTCTAGGTTAATATTCTATTTCTAAGATGGAAAAATGGGGTTGGTATTTATTCCATTTTTAAATGTTCCCTTCAAAGTACCCAACATCTTCATTACTCTTAAGAAACAAAATTAATTTTACTCTTAAGGAGCAAAATTAAAGGGGTCAAGTGAAAGAAGTTGCTGTAAGGCAGGAGAAACTGACTCTTAGGACTTCAGTTCACCACTGCAAGTGGTCTCCAGTGTTTACTTGGCTCATCTGATGTGGCAAATGTGGATGACTTTCCTGTGAGTACTACTTCTGTTAAATGGCTGGGAATTAAAAAGTCATTTGAAGCACCAATTTCAGCTTCAGCAGAGGCCAAGCATAAAAGTTAGACCGGTAAACCCCAAAGCTTCCTTCTCAAGGATCAGTCATGGTGTGCCCTCCAAGGACACTCGTCTTAGATTTCTGGTCAACTAAGGAGCTCCT